CCGGCTCCGTCAGGGGTAGCAGCGGCCATCCCGTCCGAACCGTTGGGTCGCTGGGATGCCACTTCATGGTATTGGTCAATATGTTCACGAAGCTGCTGCAGTGTCGAACTCAGCAGGCGTGAGGTCTCCTCCTCCATCTCTTGGCCACGGAGGAGTTCTAGGAGTTGGAGGTGCCCCTCGCACGTCACAGCAGCAGCTTCCAACAGAAACCCCCCGTCAGTATTTGTGTCGCTCAGATATTCCGCGAGGATGCTCGAGGCCTCCTGCGCGTCCTCCAACTTTGAAACTACATCTTTGGTGGCATTGGGCTCCACCAGCTCTTTATAACTCGATTTTGATAAGGGTGGTGCATTCAACACAGTAAGCAGAGTCTTCACTTGGGCCTCGTTCTCGCACGTTCCTAAGCACGCCACCTTCCAGAAATAATTGGCGAAAAAATTCTTTTCATTAATCCTCGCCGGGACAAAAAGATACCGGTTGTGTCGTATCTTGTCGCTCTCAAGCAGTCTAACTGAAGTATCCCGATCGTAGTTAAACTCGTTGTACTTTTCCAGCAAGGTGTGATAATTGAGGCCGACCTCTAGCAATATATTTCGCTGATCCTCGGTAATAATCCGCTCAGGGCCGTACAAGTAAACCCCATCGTCCTCTACAATCTGTTCAAACACAAGGTGGCGCCAGGTCTCCGCCCGCACTGCCCACTTGGGTGGTGGCACCTCCCACGGGGGTGGCGAGTCGGATGCCTTATTGTGCGGCCCTGACCCCTCCTCCATAGAGTGCTGCACCAACTCCTCGAGCTCTTGGCGTCCTTTGTGGAGCGCCTCGGTGGTTTTGCCCACAAAATGGTCTACCGAAGTGAGGAAGGAGGACCACAACGACGACACGGTATTTACCACATGCTGGGCGACCAGGTTGCCGCCAACTTGAATAGTAACAAACAGTGTCATTGCTGGAGGCTCGCCAGAAAAAAACGCCGGGTTCTGAGCCTCCTTGTAGGAAATCAACTCCGGTAAGGAAATCTGCAAGCTTTCCTCGTTAAGAATAGTGGTAGCTGTGGCTATGATATCCTTTGTAGCTTTGTCATGGCTCACCACACAGGCTGTAATCATGCACACACCAGGGTAATCACTCGTGGGTGCTGAGTCTGAGTCCTTTGCGCTAACTTCTGCGTCGGATTCAGACTTCAGAAGCTCTAGTATCAAGCCGTAAGGGTCATCCTTCGCTTCCTTGGCTTGGACTAACCCTCGAAGCAAGATGAACCGAAATCGGTGCTTCCGAATCTGGGCATTGGGTATCCAAAACGGTGGTGATGTGAGTTTGTTCTCCCGTACAAGTTGAGAAATATTAGCTGGACGCCACTGGTAGGTTGTAATATCCGGAGTAGGGTTACTGACAATCTCCACGGAAGACATTTTATTCACTGTGTTGACTGGTAAAATAGTTGAAAGTGATAAACGGCACTTGGTTATGCCAAAAAACGCTTTTTGCTGTTAAAGGTGACTCGAAAAGTCAACTGTAGACTCTAAACACCGTTTGAAGGGATGGGATTGTGTAGAGGTAACATTATAAATCGATTTTAACGACGTAAAAGTCATTAAATTAAACAGCTCTGCATGCACCTATGCATCTTAAATGATAGTTTATCGTCTTTTGATCGCTTAAATATTTTACAAAAGTACTGCACAAAGCAGAAAAGTGTAAATTATAGAAGCAAAAAAATTGTATACTTTTCAAACAGTTCGTTTTTCTTCTTGTATATAAAATCCCTAAAGGAGTTCCACATTTTCGATTTTCATGTCTATCAACCTAACAGCAAGCTCAGACATCAGCTTCATGGCTAAATGATTGCGATAGACCATAGTGAAAACCCCTTCCCGCCGTGTTAGACTTATCAATATCCCAATGGAGATATCTGCGCAACGAATGCGGGCTACATGAGCAGCTGCTATAGCTATGGCCTGATTTGGAGGCTGTGGACCTACCGCTGCAAGGTACCGCTCCAACTGATCAAAAGGAATAACGTACCGAATCGTCAAGACCATCTCCACCGCGCCGTCGGAGGCTTTGATATCTTTAATGGAACATTCCACAGCCTCACCAGGTGGTTCAAGCACACTTCTAGGCAAGGTAAAGGCTCCATAGAAAGAAGATGGCGGGATCATGATCATAGAATGGTTGATAGACATAAAAAAAGTACTTAGGTAGTACAAAGGGTTATAGTATTTAGCACGAGAGAGTTCACCACGTTTCCGTTCCCTATCCGCGGAGGTGGCAAAAATGGTCTTGCGACGCCTGTCGTACACCACCGTGACGCACTTTGGATGAACCTCAATGGAACATATTCTACAAACCTTCCACAAGCACAAACAGCTCGCAGCAACCACTGCAAGAGGTAGCCATATATTAGCTATCCTTGTCGGGTGTCCTTCACCCGGCTTGGCAGACATTATGTATATATATATATATATCGATTATTTATACTATAAGATGTAGTCACTCCTTTTTTCTTGCCACCGAGTCGCTTTACAGGTGCACAGACAGTAGGTACTAGAGACGAAAAGGTAAACAAGCAATAACATATATGAATAATTGAATAATTATATTTACAGTAGAAAATGGATCAGTCATCGTACAAATAGAATTGTCAGTGTGGCAAAGATAGTACAAGGTAAAATAAGCGCAAACCCTTTGAATTATGTCCTTCTACCCGCCCAATCTCTGCAAACTTTAAATGAGTATATCAAAAGAAGCTTGAACTCTTCTTAAAAAGGTCTGATTTCCGCTACCTCAGCGTCACTAAATGGAACTGGTAAATGATGGATGCCTTTCTCCTTCAAAAAGGCTAAAATTATGTTTACTGCTGCTCGAAAATTAGGAACTTCAATCGGATGTAAAAGGTGGGTTCGACGATAGGCCTCGGATGCCGTGGCTCTCATTTCGGACTTCTTTGATAGCATTTGTTCCTCGGAATCTTCATTACCTCGCCTGCGTACACGTGTAGATCGAATATGCTCATCCACAAATAGATAAAAGCCAAAATCAGGCTTAGATAAATCCGAGGGCCACTCGTATACCGCATCACCATCAGGAGGAAGCGTGCTCGTCGTGAACTGATTAGCGAGTCCCATCGCACATGTAGAGCACCACCAGCGGTCCACAATCACGAACTGTGTGTAAGCGGCATGAAGTATGGATGGGGCCGCGATGTAATTGGAGCCTGAGTAAAATGCACGCGAAATATCATTATCTTGCATACGGAATAGTGGACGAATGTCAGACCACGCGGGTGGCGGTGTGTGCTGCTCCATTCCCCCCAACTTTGAGGCAAGTGCCTGTGTTGTTAAAGTTTTTCCGACCCCATCAAGACCCTCCAACACAATGATAGGGTACCGAATACCAGGAGAAAAAGAAGCGTTCGTGACTGATTCGATACAGTTTTCAAGGGTTTGGACATATTCAGTACAGCGCTCATTCCACCATGGGAGCGACAACTGTTGTGTAGCCTGAAGCACCTGCAAACAGTCTGATTTCGACTTATACACACAAAGGCCTTTGTGAAGATTATTCGCTAGTGTATGGAGACCCTCCATCTCAAATTCAAGTCGGCGATAATCTAAAAAAAAAAGGAGAAAAATAAATATTAGAGAATATGGAAATGCCTACCACACAAAAAGCCTTTTTTTAATCTATTTAATAGGATCTATTGTAAAAAAAAACTTTTGCCTATTCGACTCAACGCATTCATCTCCCCAGCAACATCAAGTAGTGCCCAAAGGGCAGTGAAGAGATATAGCCATAGATTACCTCTTGTCTTTTCACCGACAAGCACATTTAATAGACGTCTCTAGAAGAGGGGGTGAGAGGGGAGGGGGGGAGGGAGGGAACATATATTTTCCCTTTGAATCTTCATGAATGACGCATTAAACTCTAAGATGATGGGTTCATTAAAATAGATACAAGTGAAGGTTAGACATAAACGGAGAAAAGACAAGTATGAGACAACTTCACAGGAGAAAACAGCTATCGCAGTACAGATGGTTAGACCGCGGATAGGGTTGTCGTACAAACCACTTGGAAGGAGGCACTACACGACGTAACGGGCTCTCGTTCAAGTAGACCCCCCACCACGAAAATGTGGAGTCGCCCATGATAGTGTCATCGCACTGGGCCAGCAGGATGAGTTCCAAGACCTCACGCGGCTGGTATGTGTTTGAAGCTAATGGAACCCGATTTTTGTTGGATGGATGCACATATGTCACCTGAAGCACTCGATACTCCGACCTAAAGTAGCCTGCAGCCAAGTGACCCTCACGTTCCCCTTCGCAAAAGATCAACAGCTAAATTCGAGGAGACACGGTAGAAGTATATTTTGGTTCACACAAAGCTCGGGTGTGCAATTTCTTTATTAGCAACCCACAGAAAATATGGCATACCGAAGGGTCGTAGTCTGAACTCACGTCGAGCTGCTCAAACACATCAGTCATTTTCGTGCAATACCCGCGGTGCAACTAACACTAACTGTTTAGGGGTAGACACCCCCTCATGACTGTAGTTAGCCCACAGATGCACAGTAGCTAGCTCGTGTAGCCTGCGAGAAGCTACCCCTTAAATGATAGAGAAATCGTTAAAGAACGCTTCAAAATGAAAAAAAAATTGAAGCTTTAAAAACCATCCCACTCGCCACCACAAGCGTTTATGACATTGGGAGCGGTAGGAAAGGCCTCGTGTACCTTTACACCCATTGGCGAGTTCGCAAATAGTACATCCTTATTGACATATTTCACTCCAAAGACCCAAGGGATTCAAATATCAATAACTAATACGTTGACCTTGGTGCAATGCAGCTACTGCTGGACTAGGAACGTGGAGGAACGGCAGGGATCTTATTGCGACATGCAGAGGCAATAAAATTCGCAGCAAGGAAAAGTTGATTCCCTAAACCTCAGAGAATGTTTTTAGTCATAACAGAACATAGGCCTTTCATAGGATGCGTGCCTTTCTATAAAGAGTTAACGCTTCAAAAAAAAGAAGGAAGGGCCCCAAATAAACACACTCCAAAGTACTTTGCTTATGCATGTATCAAAA